CCCCAATTCATGCCTGCCACACACCAGCTCTTTGCCTTTCATTCCAGCACCAGCAGGGATAGCCAGTGTTCACCCTCAGGAGCACACACAGACTCAGTCAGGAGCTGGGCCTCTCCATGTACGGGACTGGTCCATACTCCTTCAGATGACCTGGAGACGCCGGATACTGTGAGCAACTGGGAATGGCAGGACTCTCTTCCCAGGAGCCCAGAAGGCATGCTTGTTTGTGCGTCCACAAACAGCAGCTACGCAGCTTTCCCGCCCTGGTATTGGCTGTGGCAGAGGCTAGAAGGACACAGCATAAACGTGGGTTTTCCCCTCTGCAGAACACTGAACTTCACTGTGTCACAGGAAGTCACCAGCTGCTTTCCTACCTTCTCCCTATCCCCCCTAAACCCCTAAACCCACCCACCCCAGCCAGGTTTGGCTCCCAGAGCTCTGTAGTAGGCCAGAGCCTCTTCTCTCCACCACAGGATTGGAGGCCCCTAGTCCCAAGCACCTTGGGCCAGCCCTTTTCTCTGATTCGGGACATCTTTAGGAGTCACCAGTGCTGTTCTCAAGGCCTCTGACAGCTTGTCCTTGAGTTGACTGGGCAAACTGGGAAAAGAATTCACATCTGGAGGATGGAATGTTGCTGCCAGCAACCACGGCTGCCCAAGACGGGGACACCCACCCTTGTTGGGAGGGATCTTAATGGAGGAGATAGCTTGAAGATCAAATTGTAGCTCTCAGCTCCTTCTCCAGCACCATGCATGCCTGTCACCGTGAGCCCTGACATGCTGATAATGGACTAAGCCTCTGAAACTGCAAGCAAGCTCAATTAAAGGCTTTCCTTTATAGGAGTTGCCTTGGTCATGGTGTCTCTTCACAACAACAAAACAGTGACTATGACAAAGTTCTAGGCCACCCTGGACTACAGAACATCTTATCTCAAGCATCTTTTATTTAAAAGTAAAGTAGGACATGTCTCCTCTTGCTTAGTCTGCAGGAAACCCTGGGCTCCCAGCACCACACACACAAATAATGGCCTGGTCTTGAATGTGGCCTTTGTATACCTGGGTCACTATGTAGTTTGTAGGGACCTAGGCAGGCAACTACGCGGCTTAGACCTACCCTACCCCTCCCCTCTATAACCACACACAAGTTCCCTTCTAGCCTATAGTGAAGCCCTGCCTGGGTCTGGTCAGGGAATTACTTTTCCCTCCCACCACCACCAACAGGGTTTCTCTGTGCAACCAACCGTTCTGGATGTCCTGGAACTCGCTCTGTAGACCAGGCTGGCTTTGAACTCAGACATCTGCCTGCCTCTGCCTCCCAGCGCTGGGATTAAGACATGCGCCACCTGGTGGAAGGAACCACTCTTGACTCCACTTGTACGGGCTTCCTTAACAAATGCCCTTATGTCAGCAACAGTACCACACATGACCTCACTTCATCTTTTTGTTATTTTGATGCTGGGGAGGGATCAAGGGCTTCTCACCTAGTAACCACTTCCTCTACCACTGGGCCACACCCCAACTCTCATTTTAATAATTATGACAAAGTTCCCACATTACTGAAGCTTGGAGAAGAACACAGCTCTCGAGGGGAGAAGATTGCATGCACATTGCATAAAAATCTAAGTATATATAAAATCGGATCCCAGATGGAGTAGGGGCTTCTCCCAATATTGAAACATGTCTTTTTTATCTGCCACCCAAAAACCCTCAGGGTGTTCCAGCCCCAAAGCAGATCCCAGACACTTCTGTTTTCAAGGATGGAACATTTGCCCACATGATCTCTCTGCAGCTGAAAGCAGTCATGAAATAGGTTTTCCTCTCGATAGGCTTTAAATGTCCCTCAGCTGGTCTCTCCTTCCTGAAGACTCTCAAGGCTGTAAAGATGGGCAAAGTGTGGGGCTGGAGAGATGGCTCAGTGATTAAGAGTACTGCCTACTAGCTGGGGGTTGATGGAACACACCTTTAGTCTCCACACTCGGGAGGCAGAGGCAGGTGGATCTCTTTGAGTTCAAGGCCAGCCTGGTCTACAGGACGAGTTCCAGGACAGGTTCCAAAGCAATACAGAGAAACTGGAGAGAGAGAGAGAGAGAGAGAGAGAGAGAGAGAGAGAGAGAGAGAGAGAGAGAGAGAGCACTGGCTGCTCTTCCAGAGGCTCTGGGTTCAATTCCCAGCACCCACATGGCAGCTCACAACTGTCTGTAACTCCAGTTCCAGGGGATTCAACACATTCACACACATATACATACAGGCAAAACACCAATGCACATAAAATAAATAAATTAATTAATTGTTAAAGAGAGAGAGAATGGGTAGGGTATGATTTCACACACTAAAAAGGCCAGGGTAGCCTGAGCTAGGAGCACCACCCTGAAGATACCTTTGCTGAAGATATGTTTGCTAACACTGCATTGCCCTGGTGGTAGACACCTGTAATCTCAGCCCCCTTGGGAGGCTGAAGCAGGAAGATTCCAAGTTTGAGGGCAGCCTTGGTTTAACAGAGCTGGCTTGGGTCGGTATAGCAAGAAACAAAAACCTAAACAAAACAAACAAAACTATTCCTCATTGCATAAAAGATGTCAAAACTGAATTAACAGGTTCAAGGGCAGGATAAAGGCTGTGTTACTCAGCCATAAAGCACACATTTAGCATGCTCAAGGCCCTGTGTTAGATTCTTAGCACAGTGGGATGAAAAGGGACTGGGAAAAATGCAGTTTTCATCTAGTAGACCAGAGACTTCCTTAGGCATACCAGCAAATTGTTGAACCTGACCATCGGAGAACTGTCCAGCCAGAGAGTGGTGGAGCATGCCTTTAATCCCAGTACTTGGAGACAGAGGCAGGTGGATCTCTTGTTCTAGTCTAAGGCTAGGAAGATGGTCAACAACCAACCAACCTTCCTACATATAGCTCCCAGGCCATGGGAGAGGAAGGGACATGGAGAAATGGATGGTAGTAACCGTTATTGTTTGAGAGATATCATTGTCAACAGGAGCTCACAGGAGGACTTAAGGCCTAGCTGCTCAGGTGGGCTTCTTTGAGAAGAGGTGGGGCTCAGGGGACCTCTCTACCACTTGTGCCAAGGATGGCACTTTCATGCCAAGAGTATTCCTGAACGTAACTCAGATAGGGCAGACAGGATAAGCTCTAGCCCTAACCATTCAGGACTCACAAATCCTGCAGTCCTGGCACCTGGAAGGCCCCTTGGGGACTCCAAATATACTTGGTCCTAGGACATGCCTTCATAGGAATTTTTATCTACACAGCTATACCTAAAGTGTATGTAATGTGCCTATAATACCAGCATTAAAGATGCTAAGACAGGACTGCCATGAGTTCAAGACCAGCCTGGTCTACAGAATTCTGTGTCTCAATCAAAAGCTGCATCTCCACAGGGCTTGCTCGGCTCCACCCAAGGTTCCTCTCATGTGTGTTCCCTTCCCACTTACTGTCTTCTCACTTCTGTAGGACGTGGATACGCTAGGGGAATGTGCCCGCGTGTCACACGGCACACATGGCACTCAGTTCTCTTTTACCTTTATGTGGATGCCAGGGATCAAAACTCAAGAAATCGAGCTTTTTGTTGCCTCTGATTGAAGCAAAGCATACTAAACACGCCCTCCCACTCAGCCACATCCCTAGCCCCACCACAGCCACTTTGATGTTCCATCTGCCTTACTAGAGGAAGCACAGCACAGGACAGGCTGTAAAGTGTTGGCAGGCATAGCCAGTCCAGTCAGGCCCTTGGGCACCAGTAACTCCCAGTGTTTCTCTGGAGCAGTGCTTAGCAACAGTCACATAGGGCTGCAGGGGATGCGAGAGAGTGTATTTGTACTTCTGCACACTATAAAAGGAGCAGTGGAAGGGGGAAAAAGGTTAAATCTTTCTCTTTTCTCCCCACTGCTGGGGATAGAAGCCAGGGCTTCTGTGTGCCAGATAAGTGTGTTGCTATTTAGCTACACCTCCAGCCCCACATTGTTCATCTTTTAACTACCAAAATCATGCCTGCTAACTGCAAGCAACCAACTAAAGTAGAATAAAGGGAGTGAGAAGTCACCTTCAGCCCTCTACCCCAGAGGATCTACTGCTACTGTTAGTCTGGAAGAACTGTGTCAGAAAAACAAAACAGAGAGAGGTGTAACTAGGTAAACATTTTTCTGGGGCCCTTGGAAAAGTTGGGGTTGAAGGCTTCTTTAGTTCTGCTCAGGGTCCTGTGAGGACAAGGAAGGGAGCTAGGAGCAGGGTCATTTGCAGTCTGCCTGTGTAGACAGTGTACTGTGAGGGAGACACATCATTTCCCTGACAATGAGGACCCCTTGCTCTGTTGACATTGGGGGCTGTCGCCAGACTTTGGCCCATCCAAGGTACACCTAACCCCGGGGATGGGGTCACTTCAGCTCTCAGGGCCTGCCTCTTTACCCCTCATCCCTCCTTCCTACCCTTGGCCCTTTTTGCTGCCTTGCAGGGATGCCCAGAACATGACGGGGTGGTTTGAATGAGATTTCCCCCATAGTCCTGGGAACTAGATACTTGGTGCCCAGTTGGTGGCTGTGTGGGAAGTCTGGCCACAAGGTTAGGTTCCGAGGCTTCAGAAAGTTAACCTTCTCTGCTCCCTGGCTGTGGTTCAACACACAAGCTCTCTTAGCTGTTTGGGCTGCCATGCCTCTGCTCCACCATCGTGGACTCTAACCCCCAACCACAAGCACAAAATAAACTGTGCCTTCTCTAAGCTGCCTCAGTCATGGTGTCTTACCACCCAATGAAAAAGTAACTATGACAGTGACACAGAAGTAAGAAAAAGCTCCAGGTGGTGGTGCACACCTTTAATCCCAGCACTTGGGAGGCAGGGGCAGGCGATCTCTGTGAGTTTGAGGCCAGCCTGGTCTACAAAGTGAGTTCCAGGACAGCCAAGGCTACACAGAGAAACCCTGTCTCAAGGAGGAGGGAAAAAAAAGCAGAGACAAGAGGATTACACAAGTCAAGGTCCTGGGCCACACACTGAGACTCTAGCTCAAAAATAAATAAATCTTTATTAAAGCAGCTAGAACTAGCAATGAACAACACCTTCTAATGGGATATCTGTGAAATCAGAGTTAAGCAAAAGCATCATAGACTTCCCCACATTTCCAACTGCAACACGAAGTCACTTGTTTCTTTCACGTGTTTTTAATTCAGAGGATGGGCCTTCCCTGTTTCTTCTTACCTCTTCCACCCCTGGGATCTAACTAAAGTTCTCCAGAGACGTCTTCTGAGGGGGATGCTAACACAGAGCCTCTCATCTCCCTCAGACAGGCGTGCAGGACTACCTGGCTCAGGGCATCAGCTGCCTCTTCAGAGCACCTTCCACTGTGGGGCAAAAGAAGGACTCTGTGCCACCAAGTGAACAGATCCAAGCAGCATTCACCGCCAGACCTAAGCCTGATCCCCCTGCACTGCTGGGGACAGGGACACCCCACGCAGTACTCCTCAGTCCTTCTTGCTTTCCTGGACGGGGATTCTTGTGAGGAGTTTCCCTGAATTGGGTGGGGACATCGTGGACACGGTGGGTGACTCCAACTTCACTCTGTCCAGGAGGGTCTTCTTCAGGGCAGCAGGGGAGACCTTCTCTTGGTCAGCCATGGACTGCAGCTCTCTGTAGACAAAGCCCCACGGGGAAGGTGACAAACCCTGGAGCCAGAGCTTTCACCCTTCTAGCCATACAGCCCCAGAACTTCAACCTGACACCAACCAAACTCAGAATCCCAAACCAAAGAGGCTCCGAGCTCAAGGGAGTGTCACCAGTCACTCATGAGACCCAATCTAGACAGCATTCCAGTGATATCTGGGACCACACGGGAAAGGGAGTATGGTGAGTTCAGGGTTTGAGCTCAAAGTCACAACCAGTCAGGAATTGAATGCCGCCCCATCTACATGTCAAAGTTACCAGAGCTGTGGTAAGAACTGGGTGAAGTGAGGCTACCAAACCCTTACTCAAGAAAGCCAAGTAAGCTGTGGTCACCAACAGAGCACAGACTCTGATGTTGCCCATGAGGTCTAAGCAGAGTAGAACCAGCCCATCACAGGGCAGGCTGGGAATGGAAGAATCCAGGCAGGGGAGAGCAAGTCATACTCACTTTGTTCGGATACAGGAGGCCTCAACTGCATTGATGAGCAGAGAGCGGAAGCCCCCACTCTCTAGGAAGTGCAGGGCATGGATGGTGGCCCCCCCAGGGGAGCAGACATTGTCCTTGAGCTGGCCTGGGTGGTCCTCCGAGTCTAACAGCATCTTAGCTGCTCCCTGAGGTACAAAGGGACATTACAGTCATCCTATGCCCAAGCTCAGCAACCCCCAAAACCAACCTCCAGGCCAAACATGCGAAGACACTGACCAGCAATGCCTGAGCTCCAAGTCGGACTGCCAGGCGCCGTGGCACGCCCATCTTCACCCCACCATCTGCCAGTGCATCCAGGGCCATAAATGCCTGTGGAGATACTCTCTGAACCCAGGAAACAAGCGCCAAGTACCCACTCCCCAGAGGCTGACTTCTCTGATAACTGGAACTAGTCTTCAGGGTCATCTCCTCCCACCAGCCGGTCATGCCTAAGAGATAGCACTGCTGTCCTCTCCTCCACCAGTCCCTCCTGTCGCCTAGGATTCATACAAGCAAGTAGGACCACTCACATAGGCAGGCCCACTGCCACTGAGCCCCGTGATGGCGTCAATGAGGTCCTCCTCCACCTCTGTGCAGAAGCCCACACTGCTCATCAGCTGCTCCAGCAGCTTCCCATCTTCCACCAGAGCATGGGTGCCTGTGGCATACACTGTGGCCCCCTCTCGGACCACCACTGGTGTGTTGGTCATGCAGCGGATCACTTTGGGGGCTGGCTGGAATGCCATCAGCTTCTAGAGCAGGAGAGCAAGCCAACTGAGTGCCCAGGGCACAGCTCCCAGGTCTGAGCCGTCCGCAGCCACTCACAGGCCACCCCTCCTCTCACACAAGCACTGGGGCATCAGCACCTTCTCCACAGAACTGATGGTGACACCAGCTGCACAGGACACCACGATGTGCCTCTCCTGCACGTCAGCCCCAATCTCATCCAGGATGAACGGGATGATGTGTGGCTTCACAGCCAGGAACAGAACATCGCTGTGCCGTACTGTGTCCTTGTTGCTTCGGGTCAGATTCACGCCCATCCTCTGTAGGAGAAGAGGACCCAGTCAATAGTGCTGGGTGATATTGTTGGGCCCTGCCTCCCATGGAACAGCCAACCCCCTCTGACAGCTGCAGCCAAAACTCTTTATTCTGTCCCTCCAGGACTCCAAATGACAATTTTCCTGTTCCTGCCACTGGGCAAGAAGGCACAGATGTTGTGCAGGACAAAGTTCCTCATGGTGGCCAGAAAAGTGGCTGTTCCTTCAACCCCAGAAATCTCCTGACACCCCTCTGCCAGGTCTGAGAGCAGAGATACACAAAGCCCACTCCCAGCTTAGCAGCTAGAGTACCTAGGCTCTCTACAGGGCCCACCTCTAGGACTCCAAAGAGAGTGTCAGGGCCCCACAGTGTTAGGGACATAAGCCCACACTGGGCACAAACACTGCCTTATTGGCTGTCCTGCACCACACTGGCCAGATTTTATAAGACTCAGGATATTAAGCTTTATTGAAAGAAACTAAGCCACCAGGTCCTTTCCCAACATCATCATTTACAACAGCACAAGGCTACAGAAAAGGGGAAACAGCCTCGGAGTGGCTGAGTATTTCAGTGTCACACTAGTCAATGAAGAAAAATAAATTTCTGGCACACTCGGTGATTCATGCCTGTGATGCCCAACACCTGGAAACTGAAGCAGACTTTCCCAGACTTACTTGGACGATGTAATGAGTTCAAAGTAGGCTAGCAAACAAAAGCCTTTCCTGTACACCTACTTTCACCCCAGTGTCTGGATCCACCCTATCTTTGCCTGGGAGCTCCCACCACGAAAGGCTGCTCTGAAGAGAGTGGAAGGCTTGCCATGATAACCTCCCTAGGGGAAGGTCACCTCAGGTCACATTTTTCCTGGTCCTCTCTTTCCCACTCCCCTCCATCCCTCCTACCCTGAGCGCAGACACGGTGGGCAGGTCCATTTCCGGGGAGCTGGCTATTATCTTGTGAGCCGACAGGACGCCTACAGAGAACAAGGTCTTTCAACAGGGGATCATGGCCTGATCATGCAGTCCATCAAAGGAAGCCAGCCCATAGTAGCTCTAGCAGGGCCGGCCTCCGAAGCTACAGCATCCAAGCAGAAGGATGCAAACCTCCCATTCTTTCCCATTCACACATGCACTCACTCAGTCACTCTCGGTCACTCTGGTGAGACCTAGGGCTGACCACCAGCTCACCCGCGGCCGTGAAGCCCCGCGCCAGCGCACAGGCCAGCTGGCCCGCGCCGATAAAACCCACACTCATGGCAGCAGGATCCCCGCAAGCGCCGACCCGGAGACGCTGGGAATCCCGGGCTCAGGGTTCGAGCCTGAAAAAACCGGGATCCGAAGATCCCGGTGCAGCTTCCGAGACACGATGCACAGGGAGCACAGTTAGGCTGGCCGGGACTAAACCCGAGCATCCGCCGCCAAACACAGGCCTCAGGTAGGCCACGTGTCCCGGGCAGCCAATCCGAGGCTGGCATCTCGGGGCGGACCAATCGGTGGCGCTGTCCGGTCGTGCGCCCGCCTCCGGCTCTCTCTGCGGGTGGAGCCTGTGGCTGTGCGGGAGCCCGCCTGAGGTCCCCGCGAGTGGGCCTCCCCGGCGGAGGCCCTGGCATTTCCTGGTTTGGCAGCTGGTTTCCGACTCTGGTCCAGGAATGGGGTCTGCTAAGCGCCTACTAGAAATGAACCCCACGTGGAGACCATGAGATGCCATTACTCCAGCTGTACGTTAGTGTCAGGGGAAGCCGGCTTCGGCATCCTCCTTCGGAAGTAGAATTAGGTAGAAAAGACCAGCAAGGATTTGTTGATTTATTTAGTGGTTCACTTAAAGCACTGCTTGTTGTGCCTATTTGCCAAGCATGACTTCGCTTGCTACCTGGAACAGAATAACCTGGAGAAATAGCTAGAACAGTAGGTCGTTGTTCTTAACAACCTGCTGACTGCCACTTCGGCTTCTGTAAGACCTTACATTGTGGTTTTAGAGTATAAAATGAGAATACAAACTGGACCCAGCACTGAGGCCTCTCAGGAGCTTCCTGGCTTCGGTCCACCAGTGACATCTCCTCTTTTACTCTCAGTACTGTAGTGAGTTTCCCAGAAAGACCCACAGAAGGGCCCCTGGGCAGCTGCGGGTCGGGTTTGGTTTTTGCAGTGCCTCACTATATAGCCCAGGCTGGCCTTGAACTTGTGACCTCCCTGCCTTACTCTCTAGAGTGGTAGGATTATGGACTCGCAAAACATAAATTTCTTTCTTTTTTAAAAACTATAATTTGTTTTTGTTTGGGTTTTGTTTATTTGTTTGTTTTGTTGATATTTTGCCTGCATGTATGAGAGCATCAGAAGCCCTGGAACTGGAGTTACAGACAGGTCTGAGCTGCCATGCAGGTGCTGAGAACTGAACCTGGCTCCTATAGAAGAGCAGCCAGTGCTCCCAACTGCTGTGCCCCCAAACAAATTTCTATAGTATACAAATCATAAGCAGTTTCCATTGCCACCGAAGTTATTTTAAACAAGATTTTAAGGTGTGCTTCTTCCTCTCATGGATGTACCCTACCATTGTAACCATTTTCCTAAAAGCTAATGTTCATTCATTCATTAGGTATCTAGTGAGCCAGGTTCTGGGGATGCAGTTGTGAACAAATGTTAAGTGGAACCGTTTTTCCTTTTTCCAAAGTGTGTGCGTGAGAGAAAGACCGAGAGCCACAGAGCTCCTGTGGAGGTCAGAGAACAACTTTCAGGAGTCCATCCCACCTTGAAGCAGGGTCTATGGTTTTTATGATGCTGGTTTCTGGGTGGTTCTCCAGCCTCTGGTAGGATTATAGATGTCACTGCATCCAGGTTTCTACCTCTATTCTGAGATTACATTTATGTTTTCAGGTTTGCAAGGGCGAGAGCCTTTGGCTTTTGAGCCGTGTCCCGGGCCATATAACATTAATATAGGCAATCTTCCTTTTACTGTGATGAAATCCCAGTGTGTCCCTAAAACTGAGGTTTCCAGGATTCCAGTTTGTAGATTTTTTTTTCAGAGTCTTGCTTTTTTGCCCAGACTGCTCTTATGATCCCAAACTCAGTGGATCTTTCTGTCAGTCTTCTAAGAAACAGAAACTACTTACACATAACCTGCCTTCTTGCAGTCTGCTAAGGTGAAGTAGATGAGGAGCATCTACCATCCCACCTAGCCATTTGGGACACACCCTCCTGGAGGGCCCCAGCCTGACCACGCCCTCCTGCCATGGATGGGTGCTCCCTGCTTCCCTGACTTCCAGCCAGTAGTCAAGCTAGTTCAACCTCCTCCCAGGCTTCCAATAGTTAAGCCAGTTCAGTCTCCTCCCACCCCCTTCTTTGGTCTGAACTTGGACGCTTCATTTTTATCAGGTCCTCAGGGCCCTTCCTCCTGTCTTATCCTTAAGTAACAGGCCCGCCCCTTTCTTAGAACTGGGGTGATCCAGGCAATGGGACAGAATACTGAGCAACCCCCAGCTAGGCAGGTGACAAGTCTCCAGCACTCGGCCCTCCCTCGCCTTATTTTATTACATAGGTATCCATGTTTATAACACAAAAATTAGTAGTTAGATTCAGTAGGAAAGCTATCCTGTTTTTCTTGTCTCTTTCAGTACCGGGATGGAAGTCGGGCCTTGCACAGGGCAGACAGAGGCTCACCGTTGTCCTGCACCCTGGCAGCGCCTCCACCTAAGGAACCAAAAGGACATTTTTGGAAAGTAGCGCTATATTTCTTTTTCCTGCACAGTGAGGCACATCTAAAATTGATTTTTCTTTTTTCTTTTTTTATAAAGGCAACATACAAACTTTATTTAACAAAAGTAACAGGTAAAGTAAAACAGGTACTACTTATATTAAGAAAAAAACAACTATGAGAAAATTTATCTTTAACAACTTAAAATAACCTACTTGCAGTTACATTTAACTCTGAGCTCTGTTGCTGTGAAGAATACAGCTCATGCACAGGTATGGGTGAAAGATTTGTACACTTTTCAAGTATTCACTGAATACTACCTTGTATACACATATACATTAAATTGAAAAAGATCAGGCGATCCCCGCTGCATTTCCTTTTTGTTATTCTTTTGGGAGAGGTCGTCTAAAGAGAAGAAGATGCAGCCTCTGGTTCATGAATCATCTAGACACTGTTGGACACCAACTCTCCTCCACTCCTCTTCAGACATTAGATGAGTTTTTGGTACTTGTTTGGAGAGTTCTCTGGGTAGCGTGACATGCCCGTACTGGTAGTGCTCGTGGAAGTACTTATCCAAGTAGTAGATCTGCTTATGGGCCATCCTGCCGGCATGTGGAGGAAAAACGGGAGCAGGGAACGAATCGCAGGGAGCTCCACATCCGCCCGGGGCCCATGCAACGACTTGAATGAGGCCAACCTAAAATTGATTTTTCTAATCTTGATGTTTACTAAGAACATTCAGGGACAAGCCGTGACCGGTTGTGCAGATCTTGTGATCTAAGTAAGCACTCTGGTGGCCAAGGCAGGAAGATCGAGAGTTCAGGCCAGTTTGGGATAGATGATAAAAAGAAACCCTGTTTCAAAAAAATGAATTAAAATTCCAATTTACTGTTGGTGGGCTGGCAATATAGTTCAGTCAGTAGAGTGCATGAAGGACTGGGCTCCCTCCCCCACACTGAATAACCAAGTGAGAGAGTGCAATCCCAGCAACCCCAGCACTTGGGAGACAGAAGCAGAAAGATCAGAAGTTCAAGGTCATCCTTGGCTAACAAACAAAAAAATGCATTATTAAGCAAAACTATTTCATACCTAGAACAGACTGAAATAAACAATTTTATAGGCAAAACTGGTTAAACTTTTAAACCTCTGGAGTTAGTTTGTTTGAGACAGGGGTTCTTTGTGTAGTTTTGGCCATCCTGGAACTAGCTGTATAGGCCAGGCTGGCCTCAAATTCAGTATCTCCGGATTTTCAACCATCTCACACAAACCAACTGTTAGTCTCAAACCCTAGGACAAATGGCTGAGGTGACTATTTAACATATCAAAGCAGACCTGGACACCAGGTTCTCCCAGCATCCCTCAGTCCCTATTGGTTAAGAGTGTAGCTGGCACGCCCGCTCACTCCCTCCATCCCCCCCCCACACACACCCACCCTACCCTCTACCGGGAACTCTCTACCCCAAGGGACTGGGCAGCCCTTCTTACAGAGGCCCTTCCTTATACAATTCAGCCATTTTGGTTACTGTCATCTTCTTTTACCCTTTGTCCTCTTGGCTGCTACACCTGGTTCCCCTGTCCTCCCTCTCCTCTCCCCTCCCCCTTCTCCTTTCGTAACTCAGGGTCCATTCTGGACTCTTCCAGACATCCCTGTCTCTGACTCTGCCCTCTTTTTTTCTACAATAAACTCTCCCCTCCGCCACACCTAGGAGCAGTCATGTCTTTTCCTTTTTTTCATTCACTATGTGCAGTATGGCTAAGTACATATATTAAAAAATTACTAGAGTGAACTGCCTTCAGTCCCAGGACTCAGGAGCCAAAGGCAGGCAGATTTCTGAATTCCAGGACAGCCTGGTCTATAGAGTGAGTTTCCGGACAAGCATGGCTACACAGAGAAGCTGTGTCTTAAAGAAAAAAAAGGACTGACCTCTAACAATACATAATATATATATGTATGTATGTATGTATGTATACACACACACACACACACACACACACTTCCTCTCCTTGAACGTGACCTGGTTTAGGCTGCATAGTAGAAGCTCACATAGTCTTCCCTGCCTTCTGCTTCCCTCCTCTCCCTCCCCCACTCCTTTCTTCTTTTAAGAGTTTTTTTTATTTGTTATTTATGCATGAGAGCACTCATGTGGAAGATGACAACTTTGAGCACTGATTTCCTCCTCACAATGCCTTCCAGGGATCCAACTCAGGGCCTCGGATTTGATGGCAAGCACTTTTACCCAGTGAGCCATCCTGCTGACTGGCTTTATTGTTTTTTTTTTATTATTTCATTATCATACCATGCCCACTTGTTATTTTGTTCGTTTACATTGTCTAAGGATGAAACCTGCGGCTTTGTGTATGGTAGGCAAATGAGCTACCACTGAGCTACAACCTCTAATTCTAGTTCATTTAATTTTTGCAAGTGAAAAAAATAGAATTATGTCCGATTTCTAGCCAGGTGTGATGCCCGGGCACACTTGTAATCTCAAACTCCAATAGACTGAGGCAAAAGAAAAAAGTCTGAGTCAGGAAGATCGAATGTTCATGGTCAACCTAGACTATATAACATAGGAAGGACTCTGCCTCCAAAAAACTATACAAGCAAACTATACAAGCAAATACAAAATTGAAAAATAAAGTTCTACTTCTAATGGGATTTGGCTTACTGCCTTATAGAGTTTTGTGATTTTTTTTTTTCCTGCAGAGATGTAAAAGAAATACCTGTTCACACCAAATACAGAAGTGCAGGCAGACCAAAGATTCTGGAAAGTTCAGCTTAACCTCGGTAAGGGCCCAAACCTCTGCCCAGCAGCTCCCAGAGCAATAGCAGAGTTCATTTGTAAACTAGAGTTCAGAGCGCCATCTACTGTTAAAACACTAGAAATGACTGTGTCACAAAGGCAAGAACAAAAACCAGCCTGTCAAAGTGTATTTATACTCTGTCCTTGCTCTTACCAAAGACTGCTGTTCTTACTGCCCAACTGTGGGAAGAATGGTTATAAAAATTATTTTCATTAATGTGCATAGGTAATTTGTATGCATGTGTATCTGTGCATCACATGCATGCTCAGTGCCCACAGAGGCCAGAAGATGGTGTTGGGTCCTATAGAAATGTGCTTACAGTAGACATTTGTAAGCTGCCATCCCGGTGTTGAGAATCGAACCTGGAACCTCTGGAAGATCCTCAAGGATGATTTTTTTGCTTGTCTAGTACATAAACAATGACATCTTAGTTACTCTAGCCAAGACTCAAAGGACTAGTCTCTGTGTATTTGTTATAGGATTTATTTATTTATTCATTTAGCTATTTATTTATTTATGTTTTTGACACAGGGGTTCTCTTTATAACAGTCCTGGCTGTCTTGGAGCTTGCTTTGTAGACCAGGCTGACCTTGAACTCACAGAGATCTGCCTGCTTCTGCCTCCTGAGTGCTGGGATTAAATGTATGCATCACCACCATGCCTGGCTTCAGTTACCAGGGTTTAAGTGAAACATATGCTATACACGTGCTATTGCCTAGCCCAGTAAATGCTTGCTTACAACACAACCATCATCCCCAACTCCATTGCAAGGGTCAAAGTTCTTTCTAAAGAGGAAGTTTATATAATTGTTCAAAATAATATTTTTAAATGAGAGTTGCATGGGAAATTTAAATTTAGTGCAATCTTGAGCTTCCAAAATTGGGAGTCTTTGATTATCCCCTTATCTTCTTTTTGGTTTTGTTCTTTGTTTTTTGAAACAGGGTTTCCCTGTGTAACAGCTCTAGCTGTTCCAGAATTCACTTTGTAGATCAGGCCATCCTTGAACTCCCAGAAATCCACCTGCCTCTGCCCACCAAGTGGAGTGCTGAGATTAAAAGCATGCATCACCACCACCCGCCTTTGTTTTGTTGCTTGTTTGGTTTTTATCCCCTTATCTTCTAATCATGTTGCTGTCATCCCCCCTCTTCGAGCAAAGAGTACTAGAAATGACACAGAGACACGGAGTGAAACACACTGTGGTTTTGTTTCTTCAGATAATCTATGTTCAATTGGCTTTTGCTAAATGCAAAAGAAGAAGAAGCATGTTAATACCCGTACTTTCTCATGGTACTTCTCTAAGAGGGAGGCGGAATGCTAAACACACTGAGGCCATGCAATAGCACATAATGCTAGGGGCTGTCTATTCCTGGGGCAGTGAAGACTTAGAGCTGATGCCCACCGCTCCTGCTTAAGCTAACACTGTAACTCATGATCTCTGCATTGCCTTGAGACCAAGCTTGTGGTTAGCTCCAAAAGCTAAGTGTTTGATTTCCTGACCAGTATCCCAAAGCATAGCTCTTCAACCTCCCTCCTCTTAGTGCTCTTAGAACAAAGACTACAGTGTGGGTTTTGTTGTTGTTGGGGTATTTTGTTATTGTTGTGTTGTTGTTGTTGTTTGTATTCTGGTTTTTTGATACAGCATTTCTCTGTGTAGCTCTGGCTGTTGTGAAACTCACTTTTTAGACCTACATACTAAGTCCCTGTCCCAAAAGAATAAAAAAGGTCTAGAATGTCCTAGTATTGAGGATGCTCTTTGCCAGACATCCTCCTGTCTAGGGATTGCTGGGATTTTTCTGTTTGCTTTGTTTTGTTTAAATGAATTCAAATGCCACCACCTGACAGAGTAAATTAGCTGATTCCCCTGTTCTCACCATAGGGTTTTGTTGCACAATTAGCTGAGAATTGGCCATAAAATAGATCAGATCCACCTGGCAACCTGTCCACTGCTTAGCATGTCCTCCACTAAGTGAGCCAATGTGTCCTAATGGAGTGACATTATCTACTCATGTAAGTGCTTAGACTGGTTGATGATGGACAAGGAAGCCAAGATACAGAAGACTGTAGGGCAAAGGTGAAATGTGGACACTGAGTTAGGACAAGTTAACTTACTAAGTGTGGCTACATGAGGACTACAGATCTATCCCCCTGGGTATGAGCGCCCCATCAGAGGCACAGCTACATGTCTGTACCCTCATGTTGGGCAGGCTGACCACTTGGGGCTTGGTCCTGCCTCCCACCTTCATGCTGACAATCACAGGCAGGGAGGTCATCTCTGAGGCAATACACTGCCGTGGCCCCAGGAATGGCCACTTGATGGTCAGGGACTCTGGTGGCTGCAGGCAGCCGCCCACACACTCATAAGTCAGGAACCCCGGGGGTTCAAGGATCCAGTTCTCAGCCCACTTCATCCCCTGCAGGTCAAGGTACATCTCTTGGCGGCAGCATCTGGTACCTTCAGTCACTGGGGCCTCAGGCTTACAATTGCCTTGGGCTCTGTGGGGATGAGAGATCAAAAGTCACCTGACAGACACATGAAGGATAAAGAACAAGTAAAGAAACATGTCTAGGACATCAAGTCATCTACTGCTTACTGAAGGTTTCTCTGTGTAGCCCTGGCTATCCTGGAACTCGCTCTGTAGACCAGGCTGACCTTGAACTTACAACTCTGCCCCCTAAATGCTGGGATGAAAGGCATGGGCCACCACTGCCCAACAATAAAACATTTTTTTTTCTTTTTTGGTTTTTTGAGATAGGGTTTCTCTGTGTAACAGCCCTAGCTGTCTTGGAACTCACTTTGTACACTAGGCTGGCCTCAAACTCACAGACTCACCCGCCTCTGCCTCCCAAGTGCTGGAATTAAATGCATGTACCACCACTGCCCAGCCCAATAAAATATTTTTAACAACAAAAAAAGCATAAGCAGGGCAGCTGATCAGTGGCAGCACACACCTTTAACAAATACACATTTTTAAAGTCTATGCTTAATAAGATGTTTTTGTTTCATTATGGTTTTTGTATTTTTGAATCCATGGTTACTGAATTCAGTGTAAAGACCCCAGATGCACAGGGATATGCAATCCTTGTCTGCTCCAAATATACCTACCTTGTCCCTTGAAAAAAAGAATCCAAATTTAGAATAGCTTAAGCTAAAATTTTCAAAGACTTGTTCATGAAAGGAAGAGTGAAAAATAGATTATTACAATAATGTATATAATTCAATATTTGATTAAAATGCCATTTCTAAACGCACCACTAGAAACTACTATGGGTAGGAATGGGTCATCTCTTGGGGTGGCCTACACAGCCCGAGGGTAGGATGACCTAGTCTATTGTATCCCCAGCCACCTAACCTCCAGCCTACCCGTAGTCCTTGAGGTCCAGCGTGTGCAGCTCCAGCTGTGGCTCGCCCCGCCCCTCTCTGCCCCGAGTCCCTTGAGCAGCAAAGCGAACCAACTTGTGTGCGCTCCAGGTCCCCGGACCCAGGTGCTCCCTCTGCACCGACACCTGCAGCAGCAGTGGCTGCCTGGGCCGGTTCAGCTGCTGCCAGAAATTCACGGCCTCGGTCACGTCGAAGGCCTTCCAACCGCTCTCGTGGATGGACACGAGCCTGAAACACAGCTGCGCGTCAGGCGAGGGGACTTGCGGGCTATCAGGGAGGCCCTGGAGGGGTCCTGACCCCACCTCATCCTTTGCTCCCTTCCCCCTGCAGGGCCGAGCCGAGCTCCCCAATCCCCCCAACACACACACACACACACACACACACACACACACACACACTGAGCCGAGCTCCCCATCCCCCCAACACACACACACACACACACACACACACACACACACACACACACACACACACACACACCATCCAGTAGCTGGAGTCGCTACCTGGAGTCGATGAGGGTGGTGCGGTTGGAGCCATCCTCACGAACTCTCAGCCACTCAATGGTGACCCGAACGCGGGCACTGTGTGGAGACAGCCTCTCGTGCCTCCGGAGAACAGTTCTCGGGACAGGCTCCTGGAAGAGCCGCAGCACCGCCTGCACCAGCTCGCAATTAGGCAACAGCCTCTGCTCCATGCCGAACACTAGCAAGTGCTTGGAGGTCTCCGACAGCAGGAACCTGCCTGCCACCTCTGTGGGCATGGACAGAGTCAGCTGGGTTTCTCCAAGAACCATGAGACTTCTAGGATGGCAGGGCCTCTGTTCAGGGACTTGACTGGGACAGAGCCTCCCCCATCCTGTGCCTCTGGTACAAAGCCAGTTACTCAAAATCTCCAGGGAAAACCTGTTCACTAAACCTTCTCAACCAAGCACAAAGAGCTCTGGAATTCAGAACTCATGGAGCCCTAGAGAACTGGGTCCTCACAGGTGCCTGGCCTCGGGTTGTATTTGGAGGACTGGTCCCAACCCTTAGCTACCATCTGGGCCCCTGCATCTCAACAGTTGGCTACCTCCATGCTCAGGGTAGTGCTTGTTTGTTTGTTTTTAACCCAATGCAGCTTCACCCAGTCCCTTACATCAGTGTTCATAGTACAAAACACGGTTGACTTCTGTCCCAGATGGTCCTACATGGTGACCCCAGGAAGCCATACCACTGCTTTTGGAACTGGATCCTTGCTACACCCTACCCATACCCTAAGATTCTGCTTTTTCTTGCTTTCTTCTTTGGGTCATGCCAATTACTCCAGGCTGCTCTGCCTCCTCCTGGCCCTGGCAGTCTCCGGTGCACAACCAGAGCCTGGAGCCTAGACCCAGATACCCTCCAAAGCCATGTTCACATATCCCTGCTCCTCAGACTAAGGCACCCTCCCCCTGTAACACACACAAAGAAAGGGTCCACTGACATCACCAGAGTGGGCATGGTCAAGCTGCCCTCTCCAGAGACCAGGGCCAGCAGGATGAGCTCACCTCTGAAGTTCTGGCTGAACCTTTTGCCTCGGGAGCGGTCAACATGACTTCGATGCATCAGGGACACATACTGGGCCTTCACATGGGCAGGGATGGCCATTCCCTCCACATCAGCCTTGTCCAGGACGGGAGCCTGGCTGAGCTGCAGCTGCTGCAGTAGTCTGGTCAGGACCTGCTCCTCAGTCACAGCTGCCCCACACCCAGCCAGGGGAAGCACCCACAGTACCCAACAGAGCCACAAGGATTGCATGGTGCCACCAGGTAGGAGCTGTGGGTATGTGCGTCCCTAAAGTGTCCCCGAAAAGCTCTTGGGACCTAGATGGCCTGCTGAGGGCTGGTGCTGGCCTTCTTTATAGCTGATCCTGGGGTGGGGGGCAGGGAGGAAGGACAAGAAAGGTCACACCCCTGGGACCTCCTGGGAGCTCAACATCAGACAAGCCCCTGAGCCCTCAAGGAGGGGCTGTCTAGAAAGAGTACAAATTGCTGTCTGGAAGACACACAGGCTGGGGTTTCTGGCTGTGGGGCCCCTGCCTCTCAATAATACTCTTCACGACCTTTGGAGTTGTCTGACAGTATCCCAGTTCTGTTTTGTGGGAAAAAGAATTCCTGGGAACAGGAGAATTGCTTTCAGCAGCTATTGAAGTCTCCTGATTTTAAAATAAATATATATATACGTATGCTATGTCACCTATGTAGCCTTGGCTGGCCTGGAACTTCTGGAAACAAGCCTTGGTCAGGCTGGCATCAAACTTTGTAGAAATACTCCTGCCTTTTCCCCCTGAACTCTAGTACCACAAGTGTGCATCACCATGCCCGGACTGTTTAAGTCCCTTAAAGACCGAATGAAAGGGGGAGCAGAGCCCTGTGTTCCTGCTGGGTATCTCAGAGTCAAAGGAAATCCTCATCCTTTAGTCAGTCCCCCCATGGGTGCCCGGGCTCATCACAGTCCTCACACCACCCTTCCCCCATGCCAGAGAAAGATAGGCACTGCTAACTAGAGATTTGGTGTCTTGGGAAATGTGAAGTCTGCCCCATATCTTGTCTTCAGGGTACCGTAACATGTGCCCTTTCACACAGCAATTCTTCTGGAAGGGTTCCCCCACGCACTTAGGCTTCAGCCTTGCTCATGGTTACAGAGTGGGGGACAGAAACCTTCAAAATAGAGGCCAGATCTGCCCAGAGGCATGTCCAGTCCTCCGCCATGGTCACAGGCATGTGACTGCCCCACTTCGTCCAGCTCCCGTTTTAGAACAGCTTGGTAGATGCTTGGCTTTCTAGAGACTTCATGACACTCAACAGAATCTATGTCATAGGCCTGGCAAGAAGAATAAGTGAATGGGCATAGAGTCTGGAGCATACGAAATGCTTGAGAAGGATTTGCTTTCATCACCACCCCCTGAAAGGGGCCCTCTCAGCACTGTGGCTTTTGTAAAGACATTGGTGGGAGCAACAGAACTTGGAGATGTAGCTCAACGGAGCGCTTTCCTAACACCTGGGACGCCCTGGGCTCGGTAGCGAGCACTGCAGTTGGGAGGTAGAGACAGAAGACCAGAAGTCCCAGGTATTCCTCAGCTGCATAGCAAGTTGGAGGCCAGCCTGGGTTACACGAGACCCTGTCTCAAAATAAATACGTAACAGATACATGCAGCAGACATTGCTCGGGTGCTCACGTGTGCCAGGCTCTGTTCCAAGCTGGGAGCATGGATCCATACAGCCCCCAGGAGGCGGATTTTAGTCTCAACTGCATCTTTCAGATACTGGTCAAATCACTACGGGACAAAGTTACCTATCACAATGTGGTTAATGGAGACCTCAGGACATGAATGTAGACATCTGTCTCCCAAGGCCTTTTCTGGCTTAAAGATCTAAGTGTGTGCAAAGAGAAATCCTTCCCGTAGCCCCAATTCTCATGGGAGGCTAGCAATGACCATAAAGGAGCTAAGGGCCAAAGGACCTGGTAGGCAGGGATCACCTCTCTGCCTTGCCAGTGTGGGGACAGTTGGCCCCTGGGTGTGCCCTGGTTCCTACTAAAACTATTTCTGTCTTCCTCAGACATTCCTGATAGAAGAGAAAACTAAACTCTCTTGGGCTCAAAGGCAGAACTAACCCCCCCCCAAATTGTCAACATACACACACACACCAATTCTGATAGGGCCAAGGGTATGGGTCTGTAGTAAAGCATTTGCCTAGCATTCACAAGTCTTTGGGTTTTTTGGGTTTGAGCTCCACCACTGAAAAAAAAAAAAAAAAAGAAAAGAAAAAAGAAAAAAAAAACCAATGATCTGCTAATAATCATAATGATTATTATTATAGAGCTCATAAGCTGTGTATGAAGGCTATATGTTTGCTTTGTTTATTTTGAGACAGGGTCTCACTATGTAGCGTAAGCTAACATTGAACCCAAAGTCCTCCTCCCTCAACCTCCCAGGTACTGAGATTGCAAGCAAGCACTATTCTGCCTGGCACACTTATCATCCTCACAATAACCTGGGGTGGACAGAAATGCTGCCATTATTATTTCCACTTTCTAGACAAGACACTGAGACATACAACTATTACATAACTTGCCCAAGGGTGGACAATGAGTGCCAAGGGTAGGGTTATTTGAAGGGAATGACATGGAGTTTGGCTCACATGATAGGTAGACTGAGATGAGAGGAATATAAAAATCCCAACAGCCGGCCCCAGAGAGGGAGGTGTCAGAGTCACAGAATGATGACCTCAGGGCTTCCCTGTTTCACTTTCCTGTCCCACCTCTGTTTCTAAGGAAACTAGGTAATTCCCCAGAAGGAATTCAAATCTCATTTGGGGGCTGGGGATAGCTCAGTGGTTGAGTGATTGCCTAGCATCTGTAAGGTCCTGGGTTCCATTGCCACACCAGCAAATCAAAAAGAAATAAATACTAATCCCACCGGGAGCTCACATCTCCTAATCAAGGTCCCCTGAAATATAAGACCCCCACCCTGCATCCGGCCCAAGGGAGCCTTTGGTGATTGACAAACACGGCCTCCTTCAAAAGGAACACCGGCTGTCTTCCTTTGCAAGTGATTAACAGGGAAGGGACTTGGGGATGCTAACATTTGGGGCTTTAGTCAGGCCAAAAGGCACGGAGGTGTCACATTTACAGGTGACCAAGGCCCACGGTCCTTAGTCCCTGGAAGTTCTTCTGCGCTGGTGTCCCATAAATATGCAAGAGTCCACCACTTTGCCACTGGGTGACAGAAAACCCCATGGCTTATCGTAGCCGGGTTGGTGTCAAAGATGTAACACCACGGAAGCCCTGCTGTGGTTCAGTGAGACCTTCTGTCCCAGAGCCAAAGGACAGGCATCTGCCACTGTCACCTTCCTGACTTGCAGATGCTCCCAAGGCCTCTCTACTGCCACCTCATGGACAACTTGGGGTTGAGGACCTCTGTCTGGGGCACCCCAAGTGACTAGGGTACATACCTCCCGCTAACCTTCAGCAACAAAACAACTAAGGAAATGTCCAGAGACGACAGTAGAAGGGGGCCCTTCTCTGCTGCATTCCTGCCTCCCCAGTGGTCCTGTGGGGGCTTTAGCACAGGGACAGAGCCAAGCTGGGAACTGGACCATGTAGGACAGGACTTGCCGCTCATTTTTCCACCTCTTTAAGGACCTACGATAAGGTTTTCCGCTTTCTGAGTTCCCTCCTCTGCTTCACAGAGGGTCTTTTTCGCGGTGTCTGCTGCATGCCTGTTTCCTCACCTCCAATAAACACCTTTCTTCAACTTGAAAAGAAAAGGACCCTGAGTGCCTACCTGGAAGCCTCTTTAGGGACTTAGAATTCCTGGGAACTGGCAATGAAAGGGTCCTAGTCACACGCTGGGAAACTGAGCCCCCTTCTCAACTTAGGGGACCCTTTCTGAGATGGAGGAGCCTGGGATGTTTAGAACCAATGAAAGACTGGTCTAGACAAGGCCATCCATCCTTTTTCCCCTGCTGGTTTGTAGTGCCAGACATCTCAGAGCATAGCCTGAAGATCCCGACCATGCAGACAGTGCAGAGAAAATGGGCTCAGAGAGGCCAAGCTCCCCAGAGTCACACAGGATTGACACACAGTCAGATGCTCCAACTCAAAGACCACAGTTCTTCGCACATCTCAAACTATCTCTAGTGCTGGCTCCACTGGCAGAAGCCATCCATCAGCTGCAGGCCACTTGGGAACTCTGACAACTCTGATGGGGGCAGGGCAGCATGAGAAGCCGACAGAAGAACAGAGGGTCAATCTTCCAGACTCCCCAGGCTTCCCTAGACCCAGGCCAGGGACCCTGGATGTGGATTCCCAGCAGCCCTAAGAGTGCTGTTGGGGAAATACAGTAATTGGGCAATTAGCCAACAGCCCAAAGAAGGATGTCAGTGTGGATTGGGAAACTTTTACAGTGGGCAGATTGCTCAAGTGGGGGAGGGTAGTTACTTTTGTCGTGCACAGGCCAGGCCTCCCCCTTCATATTGTGGATCTGAGTGGGACAGAATGTCTGGGGTGGGGTCAGGTCAGGCTTGAAAAGGAGAAAGCTTGTCAAACATCACCCAGGTCCTGGAGAGCAAAAAACACTGCTTATAAAGCTCTGTAAATCAGACCTCTCTTCCAAAGACATCTAAAGTGGGACAGTCTAGACTGTTTATGAAGCACAATTCTTTGGGATGTTGAAGATGTGCCCCCTTCCCTGTCCCCCCAGCCCTGCCCTTTGGGGCTTCTATGCTGTGGATGTTCTCTGAGTGATTGCAGAAGTTCTGTGTAAAAATATAGATTCTTCACCAGCGAGCCTGTTCCTTGGGGCTGAGACACAAGCACCAGTCTCTCCCAACCCAGTTTCGCTCCATCCTCTGGGGCCCAAAGTCCAGGCCAAGCTGGTCTGAAACTCCCTATGTAGACTGCTGAGATTAAAGGTGCATTCCACCATGTACAGCTTGAATCTAAATGTTTTAAATAACTGTATCTATGGGGTAGTATGCAAAGTTCTGATGCATACATAATAAAGTCTGGATTTTTAGCTTGTCCATCACCTCAAATATGACTATTGCTTTGCAGTGAGAGGGTTCAAAACTCCTCTTCCTAGAAATAGGCATGGTGGGGCTAGAGAGATGGCTCAGAGGTTAAGAGCACTGTCGGCTCTCCCAGAGGTCCTGAGTTCAATTCCTAGCAACCACATGATGGCTCACAACCATCTGTAATGAGATCTGGTTCCCTCTTCTGCAGGCAGAACACTAATAATAAGTAAATCTTAAAAAAAAAAAAAAGTAAGCATGGTGGCTCACCCCTGTA